AAAGGAGTTCTCATAAGACTATCAGCTGATTTCTCAAAAGAAACCTTGCAGGCAAGAAGGGGCTGGAAAGTTTTCAAAGTCATGAAAAGCAAGGACCTACATGCAAGATCACTCTATCCAGCAAAGCTATCATTTAGAATAGAAGGGCAGATAAAGTGTTTCCTAGATAAGGTAAAGTTAAAGGAGTTCATCATCACAAAGCCCTTATTGTATGAAATGTTAAAAGGACTTATCTATGAAAAAGAAGATCAAAAACTAAAAAGTAAAACAGAGGGGAGGGAGAGAGGGAAGAATGGGGGGAAAGGTAAAGGGAATAAGCAGCATAAATAGGTACAAAATAGGCAGGGGAAGGTTAAGAATAGTATAGGAAATGGAGAAGCCAAAGAACTTATATGTATGACCCATGGACATGAACTAAGGTGGGGAATGCTGGGGGTGGGGCAGTGTAGGGTAGAGGGAAATAAAGGGGAGGGAAAAAATGGGACAACTCTAATAGCATAATCAATAAAACATATATTTAAAAAACACATAACACCTAAATTTAACAATACACAACATAATCAACAGAATATGTGACCAAACTGAAGAATCAAAAATATTTGTACACAGTGCCATAAAATTTTCAATACAGGGAAGCCAACCAACAAATCACCCACAACAAAAGCAAATATAAACAAAGCAAATACACTCAAACTGAATTACATCTGATATAAAAACTCATGCACATTACGAAAAAAAAACCAAAAAACAGTGGGGTAAAGAAAAGGAAACTAAGAAATGGGAGAAATTTTCTGTAAAGCATACATCTGATAAGTAGTTAATATCAAGAATACATAAAGGACTTTTTCAAAACAACAGGAAAAAAGATGTAATACAATTTTTAAAGTGGCCAAAGCTATATGATTAATCTATAAGAAAGGAGAAAGGAATGCACAATTGGAAAAAAACAGTCTCTTAAATAAATGATACGAGAAAAATTAAATAGAAGAAAAAGATAGCTAGACCAGGTTTTTACACCATGTACCAAAATAAACTAAAAAAATGGATTAAAATCTAAAATGTAAGGCCTGAAACCATGGAAACAGTAAAAGAATAGTCAAAAAACTCTGCCATCACTGTTAGTAATAAATGGTTTTTAGTTACATCTCTCTAGGCATAATAAACAAGAGAAAAAATAAACTAATATTCTTACAACAAAACAAGTTCTTGCACAGCAGGAAAAAACCATGAACAAAGCAAAAAGACAACCTACAAAATATGCAAAGATATTGGCCAATGATACATCTTCAAGGGCTAAATATCCAAAATATATAAGAAACTCATGGAACTTAAGACCAAAAAGACAATCCAATTGAAATTTGGGCAGAAAACCTGAATTGACATTTCTCTAAATATGGCATACAGATGGAAAATAGACATGAACACTACTCAACATCGCTCATCATAAGAGAAATCCAAGTTGAGGCTTCAATGAAACCACCACACACCTATCAGGATGGCAAGCATCAATAAATCAACGAACAACAAGTGTTGGTAATGATGTAGAGAAAAGAGAACGCTCATGCACTGTTGGTGAGATTATAAATTGGTTGCAGCCACTATGAAAAACAGGAGAAAGACACCTCAAAAACTTACAAAAATGTACCGTAGAACCCAGGAACTTCATTTCTGGTATTTGATCCAAAGAATAGGAGAACATGAATTCAAAAAGATATACGCACCCCAATAGCCACTGCACTGCAGCATCACCTACAATAGTGAAGATAAAAAACTGCCCTGACTGGAGTGGCTCAGTGGGTTGGGCATGGTCCCGCAAAGTGAAGGGTCGCTGGTTTGAATCTGCGAGGGCATGTGCTTGGGTTGAGGGCCAGGGAAATGGTTGGGGTCATGCAAGAAGCCGTGGATTGGTATTTCATTGATGTTTCTCTCCCTTTCTTCCTCCCTTCCCCTCTCTCTAAAAATAAATAAATAAAATCTTTTTAAATGAATAAAATTAAAATAAAAAAGCAAGCATAGGCCCTGGCTAGTGTGGCTCGGCAGACAGAGTGCTGGCCTGTGAAACAAATGGTTGGATCCATAGTCAAGGCACATGCCTGGGTTGCAGGCCAGGTCCCTGTTTCGGGGCGCGTGAGAAGCAACCACACATTGATGTTTCTCTTCCTTTCTCCTTTGCTTCCCCTTTCTCTAAAAATAAATAAAAAAAATTTTTTTTTAACAAAAAAAAGCAAGCACAGTTGCTTCTGCTGCTGCCGGAAACTTGAAAATCCATGAACAGATATAAAATTAAGGCCATATGTGTAAGTACACAGAACAACATGAACACTGACCATTAATCAAGCACAGAAAGAAACAAGGTAAGTCATGAACAAATTAGAGTAAAGTTAACCAGACAAATGTGCACATAATTTTAATGGCAATAGACAATATGGCTGATTCATATTTGAATTAATTCCCACAATGTTGTAAGTGTGCTAGGTTGAAAACTATTACTCACTTTCTTAATATATAAAAATCAAAAAGTAAATCAACTGAATTTGGGGAACATATCATTGAAAAAAAACCCAGCTAAGAAAACCAGTGGGTATTGTGGCTGAGTGTGACTGCGAGATGCTGGAGTCCCAGTCCTTCTCTTAAAGGTCCCGCACACAGACTTACTGGGACTCTTGCTCTGACCTCCAGCCCTGGGACAGCACCTTGGATGGCACCAGGGACATTCAGGGAGGAAATGAATTAATTGTCTGGCTTTAGGGCAAAGGCTGGAGGGGCAGCTTTCTCCCACACAGCGGCCCTGGCAGAGCCCATTCTTCCCTTGCTGAGCCCTCGCCACCACAGCCTAGCAGGTGGACACATCAGAGTCTCCATCAACCTGGCTAACACTGTAACCCTGTCCTAGTGATTCTGAGAACTCACCTCATTCAAACTGAGAGCCCTCATGAGCCACATTCAGTGGCTTTTCCATGCAAATGGCCTCTTCAAAATCTCTCAAACCAGCCGCACCTGGCCTCTGTGCGCCCCATGCCTCTCGCTCAGTGGCCCTGTGCACAGCACTAGTGACAGCTGGCCTTGGATCATATACTGGCCTCGCCTAGACACCTCCATATCTGCACAAGTAGCAACCACCTGCGGACCACTCTGTAACTGGTACTAGGTGGCCCTGGGCAGGTCACAGGTGGTGGTTGATCTTGCATGTCAGGGAAGACCCAGAGTAGGGCATCCAGAATGCAGTTTAAGACCATGTGAGATTACGCCCTGTGACTTCTACAAGCAAAAACTCATGGGGCAGACTCGTTGAGTAACAAATCTCCACTAAATATTGTCCTAAATATGAAATGTCTAATAATTCTGTAACCACTTCTTACCAAAGGAGAATATTTGATCATGTTGTGTCAGCACTTCTTAATTTAAAAGGAAAAACATGACAAAGGTCTAACCAGAAAGTGAAAACATATAGGACACAGTCCTGGGCAGCTTTGGACTGAACAAGAGAGAATAAGAAAATGATAAAGATGAATAAATTAGGTGCCAATAGAGACCTTCCTGTGTGATAGGCAATGTTCTAAGGTTGCCTATGGCAATAACTCATAGAAGAATTCTATGAGGTAATAGATACATTGTGCTGTCAGAAAATCACTGAGTATAACCTTTGTAGGGTCTTGTTTGAAGCCTCCATAAGATTAGAAATTATAACTACAAAACATGACACCTCTCCCCAGGGCTTCTGGGATTTCTGCAACCAATTCCAGGATCTCAACCACTTCCTTCATAAACTCCTTTCACGAGACAAAAACAGAACTTGCAAGTGCATAGATTTTCCCAGGTCCCCAAAGCAATGGAAGAGGAGCCAGACCACAGCGGTCCTCACAGACCAAGGGGAGGACTTTGCCCCTCACACTTAATGTGATGACAAAGATCCCTAAAGTAGAAACAGGGTCTCGAGAGGATGTAGAAACATGGGACACTGTTGGAGACCAGCTGGCTCTCTATGACAGCAACAGAAACAAACAAGGGCTTTTCAAAATCCTTTCCACTGAAGCACAGTTTCCCAAACCACACTTTAAGGTCTGGCTTCCTCCATGACCTTTGGGCCTCTCACCTATGTCATATGCTTCCTCATTCCCACCTACCTGGGTGGACAGATACTGTCTTTTCTCTGTTCACATCTCAGTGCTCCTTCACTTGCTCCAAAAAGGTGACCAGGATTGGCTTAGAGAGAACAAGACCTGTTTATAAAAAAATAAACATTAGTTTCGATACAGATTTGCAATTTCCAATTCAGTTTGTGCACAGGTGAGAAGACATGATAAAATATTTGAATACTCCAAAAAATGATTTTCCATAAAACTGTTTTCTGAGAGCACTGTAAGTATTCTAGATAACATACAAAGTGTTCAGACCCTGAGTTCCTATATAACACATACCACAAAGCTTTTTTTCCTACATAGAAAATGTCCAATATGTTCCTTGAGAGTAAGAATCTGAAAGTCTACCACACAAAGCAGAAGTTCTCAAATCATGGTAAACTAATATAAAAGACAGGCAGATCCGAGATGACGGAGGAATAAGCAAAAGTAACCTCCTTTCAGGACCAATCTGGAATTACAACTAAATTATAAAGAAATCATCCTTAATAACCAACTGAACACTAGCTGCAGGGAAGCCTTATAACCAGGACAGACAGAAGAAACCACTCTTCATCACAATGAGGCTGAGTCATAAAAGATAGGGATGGCAAAGAAGATGGATGACATTTGTCCCACTTCCTTGCACAGCAGAGGCCTAAGACTGTCTGGAAGAGGCAAAAGTGGTGGCAATGAAACACCCAGTGATTAAATGAGTGTCTGAGGGGAGCCTGTCCCAGGGGAAAGCAAAAGGGACCCAGAGAGACACAGCCACTGAACAAGCTGAAGTGAAGATGAAGATGGACGAGGTAAGTCTGGGAAAATAAAAGTGCTTCATGTACCAAAAGGAGTGCCAGCATGATGTTCTTCAGTGAATGAAGCTTAAGCCAGCAGTGTATTTTCTCCAATTTTCTGCTTTGGGGTGACATCCAAAACATCAATAACTTTGACAGCATGTTCTCCATTTGCCTATAATTGTCATTAAAAGAAAAGTCATCGCCTACTATGGACATGGTTAGTTGAACAGCTAAAAATAAATTAGAAAACTAAATAAAAACAAATATAAAAGACAAATCCTGCAGGTAGAGCAGGAACTCTGAAAGGTAGTCATCCTCACCCAGGAATCCAGGGTCCTGTAGTTCTCCAACATCACATCTACATACAATTTCTGCTGAGCTGGGTCCAGGCACTCCCACTCCTCCTGAGAGAAATCTATTGACACGTCCCTGAAGGTGAACAATCCCTTCTCTCTCTCTCTCTCTCTCTCTCTCTCTCTCTCTCTCTCTCTCTCTCTCTCTCCCTCTCTCTCTCTCACCAAGAACCCACCAGCAGAGTTCACGCTGTCATCCAACGTGGAAGCAGTGCTAGGAAAAGTGGTTTTGACCTAGGAGAGTATCCTGAATCATCCAGTAAGATTGTTTTGACGCAGTGATATTCTCTAATATATTTTCTAACATTGAAAAATGAGGATGGCACCTGTCCACAAATCCACTGCAGAGACTACTTCTCAGAAAAGTAAACTAAAATGAAGGCATCGACAGAGGCATATGAATTTGTATCATTTATGATCAATTGTGTTTATTTCTCAGCTACAAAAGTCATGATAAGTTTAAAGTGTAAGTACTTCTTCAAGATTAATGCAGACAACAAAGAACTGCATTCTGTAAAAATGCAGATTCTGATTCAGGAGTTTACGGGGGACTCTGGCCCCTGAAGTCCCCCAGTTCGCAGCAGATGAAAAAATGAGTTGTTCCAAATGCCGTTTGCCTGTCAAGGAAAGAGGAAGGTGAATCTCTCTAGAGAATGCCTGACCCCTGTGCTCTATGGCTTTTATTGAGAGGGTTACAAGCAGGGGATAGGTAGCACGGATGTATAGGTAATGTAATTACATCAGTAGCTTACGCTTACAGAGAATAGGTGATGTTTAAAGAACACAATGGCAGGAACACACCAAACTGCTTGGGTCCACCGAGATGAGCGAACATTATGGCGCCAGGTGGAATTTGGGTCAGGGGCCAGGAATTTTGTAAATTCCTTTCCCAGCCTTGAGCTGGTTATCTGGTGTAGATTAACAGAGTTTGAGGGAGAAACAAAACCTGCTTCAGGGAGTGTAATTTACTTCTAAGTCTGATTTTCCCCAGAGGCCCCTGGAGTTACTATCGGGTCTTGCCTGTCTCCGCATTACCAGTGTTCTGGCCAAGGCTTACGGGTCCTCTCCCAGGCCTCAGCTTGCATTGGACTACAGTTCCTGGCACCACTCAAAGCGGCCCCCTACAGGAGTTGTGCGAGGGGACCTTTGTTTCCATGTCTTTAATAGTTTCACTTTTTACTAGTGACAGCAATGTCTCTGGTCCACGTGCCATGTTTCTGAATAGCACAGAAAATAATTCAAGCATGACTTTAAGCTGAAAACGTTTTATAAAATTTACAGTTCTCAAGAAATAAGAAACACAACAGTCACAATTTTATTTGAAAATTTTGTGTAAGTAATCTTAGAACAAGGTTATTCTTCCTATGAGAATATTTTCTGAAATACAAAGGGTGGACCTTGAGTTTTATTTCAGAATTTATGTACAATTAAAAAAAAAACAAAACTCAGGCAGAAATGTATACAGAGACCTTGTGGACATTCATTGCAATTTCTGTAACTGAGAAGAAAAACAGAAACATCTTGAGAGGAAGAAGACAGAATAGCTCAAATATGTTAGCGTTTTATGCACACAGACATATGGAAACTAGGTAGAACTGATAAGTGATAGAAAACACAATTTTATGTCAGTGAAATTAAGGTTATTATTATGCAATTCTGTAAATCTCATAAGTCAATGTGTGAATGATACCCTTTGTGTTTTATAGACACAGTAAGGAGAGAAACAACATTACAATGAAAAAGAAGTCAGAACTCTTGTTTCTTTGTCATTTATTTCTTTGAAAATGTTCCTATATTGTTAGTGGAGAGCTAGATCTTAGAAACTTAACTAAATTGAACATACATTAATTTGATTCTTGTATGATCATACATGTGATTCTTGTAAACTTTCTTGAAAATATGAAAAGTGATAATGTAGAGTATGTCTGTGATATGAATGCAGAATATAATGAAAATTGAACAAGAACAAGGTGTGATTAATTAAATCCTCCTTATTAAAGTCCAATGATCTCCAGGAAATAAAAGTAGGCCCTTCATTTTCCAGGGTGAACAGAAAGTAAAAGGACAACAAAAGTTTCAAGTTGAAATGGGATAGTTTTTTCACATTTCTCAAGTAATTCCCTGCTAGACCCTTGTTAATGATGAAGAGAAACTATATAGTGCAGAGAGTATCTCAGCCAGGTGACTATCACAGGGACTGCAACAATGGACATGTGGTGACTGAGGCACATGGAGGGACATGTCATCACTGCTGTGACATTACTGGCAAAAATACATAAATAAGGATATCATTAGGTAAAATGATCATAAATAAGTATTAGTTTTTGCAAACACAAATCCACATGTACCTCTCATGTTCTGTATGCTAACAGAGCATCTAAGTAGCAAGACTTTTTTTCAAATCTGGTTAGCAAATCTGTTCTAACTATGCTTCTGTCTAGAACTTTCCGAGCTATCCTGATCAGTAAAATGTGCATTTCCTTACCCCGATCTACGGAGCTGATGCTGCAACCACATGAACCTAAAGCCTATATGTCCCTTCTTCACCTGATACCCGAGCCCCTTAGCCCAACCCAACAGGGGTGCTGGACACAGGTGACTTCCGAGATTGTTCTGTCAACAGAGGGGATGTGTTCAGTGGTTGAAGGTCATTAATTAAAGGCGGGTTCTTGATCTTGGGGAGCCCAGATAAAGATAATGCAGAAAAGGCGCTGGAACAAAGGAGAAAATATATAAAATGCTGACCTTGACAATCATAAAAGAAAAAAAGAAGTAGGGGAGAACCACCTCACTAGGCAACAACATCAAAAGAGAAAGGTTGCTGGTTCTTAATGTAACCCTATCAGGAGGAAAAGCAAGCACAGCCTCTGACCCAGAACACATGGTTTACCTGAGAAGCAGCCATGTCCTCCTGGTCCTGCTCCTGCACAGGGTTGTTTCTCAGGTAACAATATGCTGAAGAGTCATGTCTGCATATTGAGGGTGTGTCTTCAAAAGTGTCTGCAAAGCCCTGGCTGGTGGGGCTTAGTGGACTGAGTGCCGGCCTGCCAACCAAAGTGTCTTCAGTTCAATTCCCAAGCAGGGCACATGCCTGGGTTGTGGGCCAGGTCCCCAGTGTGGGGTACGTGAGAGGCAACCACATATTGGTGTTCCTCTCCTTTTCTCCCTCCCTTCACCGCTCTCTGAAAATAAATAAATAAAATCTTTAAAAAAAAAAAGTGTCCCTACAGCCCATACATCTGCTCCCACCGCACTCACAGGTAGAAGGACCTGGAAATGCTGAAAAGGCCACTTTCTCCTGTCCTTTGTCAGTGGAGACTCAGGAACAATGAGCTCCTATATGCAGAGCACACTGTGAGATCTTCTTTACAGGTGTTCTCTCCCCACCAACAGATGTCCCCAAACTCATACAGCAATGAGAATGTGCAGTGCTCTCCTGAACTCCCCAAACCCAACAGAGCACCCTGTTACCTCCCCTAACCAAAGCCTGCTCCCTACTCTCACAGATGCATTTGGGAGCCCTCCTGCTAATCCCTGAGCTTGACTAAGCATCACCTGGAGTACCTCCTAAAACAATGATGCCCCACCCAGAGCAGCTGACCAACTCTGCGGGGGGAGCACACGGCTTATGTCATTGCTTAAAACTCCTCACGTGATCTAATAGGAACACAGAGGGGGGCCATTTAGGTTTAATGAGCATGTAGATCCCCTGGAAAACCTGGCCCTACTCTAACTTATGGTTCTGCAGGTCAGCAGTGCAGCCCATGAAATGGTACTTTATCTCATTCCCTTGGGGTGCCTGAGTTGCTCCCCCTGAGCTGATTTCAGTAGCACTGGATGACAGATATCAGACCCAGCACACCTGAGATCACTGGATAGTATGAAGCACTGAAGCAGGAACTTCTAGAAGTGGAGTGCCCTAGGCAAACTGCCTTCCCCTTTTCCCAGAAAGTTACAAAGAATAGAGTTCTTTATGCTGAAACCTTTGGAAAAAGTTAACTATGGAAATATGCTTGTCAAATCACTTCACCATGAATACACGAGCTCTGTGGGAGCCAAGTTTCTGGTCAATCCAGTCCATCCTTCAGTATTTTCAGAGCATGGACAAGAGAGACTTGAAGGGAACAGTTTCTTCGTGGCTCACAGTCACGATGTCAACAAATCACATAAAGGAAGGAAAATCGTGCTAAATATTCAATGAACTCATGAAACTAAGTTCTGACTGTTATGATCATAGACATCTTTACCAAGTACACACTGAAATAGCCTGGTATTATTCACTAAGTACCAATGGATGTTCCAACATATGAAACAGTAGAAAGGATGCAGAGCTCAGGATTTAAACTAGACACAATATATTTAAAAAGAAAATGCTTTGGGTTTTTAAAACATGTAATGACTTCTAGGTTTAAAATTTATTAAAGGGATAGACTACTTTATACTTAGAAAACAGAGCTGGTCATGAGATATCACCAATGCTTATTTCAGAAGTTCATGATTATTTACAGAAAAGTAGATATTGAACATATTAAGACTTGTCTCAATGTTTTTTTAAAAAATGAATTAAATGTGAAAGAAAAAAGTAAATTCATAGGAGAAAAAAAGAAGACCCAATGCTTCGAATATTCCTTGAAAAACCATCATGTGGTGACAGACTCAGTCATTTCTTGTCCCAGGTCACCTCCCTCTTGCCATCTGAGGAAATGAGATGGGAACGACTGACAGACAAGTCTCTGCCCTCTCAGTGAATAAGGGTTGCAACTGGAAGGAAATAATTATAAAATTCACAAGCCTTATAAACTGGAGATTAATTGGAGAAAGAATTCAGCAAATTCTAGTTAAATATATAATGTCACAAGTCGATATCCCACAACTTAATCATCCACATCCCGGCAGCTCACTAGTGAAGCACATCCGGGTTCCCCTTCTTTCCCGCTACTCTGTATTTCTGTGTTTCTCCTCCCCGCTCCCCTTCTCTGTCTCCTTTTCTGTTCCCGTCCCTGTACCTGTTCCGTGAAACTCTCGAAGCCTATTTCACCTTCAGTTCCTTTCTCCCGGATCTCTCTGAATGCTCCCGTCTCCACACACGTCTGCGTCTTTCTCCCCCACCCATGCCTGTGTCCCCTCTGCTGCCCCTATTAATCTTTCCTGTCACCCCAAAGCTGGCTGCCTCTCAGTGCTGCTTCTCCCTCTGATCTCCCCAAACACCCTTTCTGTCCCTACAGTCTCCTCCAACGCCTCTCCTCCGAACCACTGTCCCTGGCTGAACTGACTCTTATTAAATGGGGAACGGGGATATCTAAAGAAGGGGGGGCGGTGTGCAGATGCCCAGATGGGGGAGCAAACGGGGCTGTATGGTCCCAGAGCGGCGAGACGCCGGGAAACACGCAATTGTTTGCTCCACCCGAGCCGTCCCCATGACTTTAAACGGCGCGGAATGGGCCGCTGCCCAGCGAACGGCTCTCAGCAGAAAACCCATGTGGCAGGCGGTGTTTCCCAAAAGAAGTGAAAAACTTCGGGCCCTACAGCCTCGGGGTTTCCGCAGAAATGGGCCCTCTGCCCGACAGCGAACCGACCAGGGTTCGGGGGCGTCTCATCTGTATTCCAGCCTCACCGCTGCGGAAGGCGCGGCGGCAGAATTTCAAGGTCCGCATTGACCCTCGCGCGTCACGCGCGCAGAAATGTGGCCTGAGAGCACCGGGTTTGAACCAGGAAGCCCGACACCAGGAAGACTCGCATGACCTTCATTGCTCTGAAACCGCTTCCGTGTGTCTATTAATGCGCGTGCGCACTCGCTTCGTCAATATGGGGGTCGGAATGCGAGCAGAGCACTTCCGGCGGTGGGCGGCGCCTGACCGGACCAAGGGAGGGAGGAGACCTGGGTAGGGGATCGGGAAAGTTGACTCAGGGCTAAGCAAATGTCATGGCTTACGTCCTTTGCATTTGACTTAGGAAATATTTTGTAAGGCTTTGACATAATTACAAAATTTGTGACATTTCCGTCAAAAATGAATACGGTGATCCTCTAAAAATTAAATTTTAAATCAAATCTTTGAAACGTTGTGCCTGTAAGATTTCTCTTCGGTTTATGTTTACTGATGTTTAGAACTTTTTTTGCCTATAGGGTAAGTGGAGGCTGTCTGGCTTCCTCACCCAGGTGCTTGGTTAACTGGGGAAGGAAGCTTCTCACAACCTTGAAGGAGTCTGATAAAGCAGTGTTCTCAGAGCGAAAAACTGCCCCTTAGCCTTAAGTAGGCTCCCCTGCACAGCTCCTGCTAGGTTACTTCACTTTTTGTGGCAGACTTTGTTCCTTCCAGCACTTAAAGAGGGAGGGGCTTCTTACTGGGAGGGAGGGATTCTCGATGCCTATGCAGACACAGGCTTGTGGCCTGTGTGACTCCCCCAACACGGGCTTGTGGCCTGTGTGACTCCCCCGAATAAAAGCATGTCAAGCATCCCCACGGCTCCACGCATTTTCTTCCGTCTACCTGAGTCTCAGGTGGACCTGCCCAGCCTAGGGAGGCAGCAACACCTTGACTCTCAGCTAAATGTTACCTAATTCGTTAATACCCAGCTGGTGTCCCAGAGAATTGCTTGATGTGGTGGAAAATTCCACACATTTGGTGATCAGAAGTGTAGTCGGATAGTATTGGTGTCAAAGTGAAAAGGACACACAGAAAAGAAAACACACTAGAAATTTTTTACCTACAGAAGAGAAGAAAAAGTGCGTTTTTTCTTCATAAGAACACTCCACCTATCAAAGGAACAAGATACACCCTTTATGTATGCACATAATACAATGCAATAGCAAGGCAAATCATTTTCTGGACCTCAAACAATTCTTGATAAATTATAAAAGAACAAAGTCAAACAAAATATATCTACGACCCCAAATAGATTGAAGATTAAAATCAGTAACAGAAAAAATCTCTTGGGAATTCTTAAATATTAGGAGAATAACAACATGCAAGTAAGCATGGGACAAAGAGAAAAATTAAGTGAGAGAGTAAAATAAAAATGAAAATAGAACATATCAATATTTATTATTTGCTTCTACATCAGGAAAAATTTAAAATAGCACACATCAAGAAATGATAGCAATTTAACAAAACACCTATAAGCATAGAGTTTCTTTTATTTTTATCTTGTTTGCTTTGCTTTTCTGTATATCATTTTGAACTTTCTGCATGTAAATAGATTAAGTTGAAAATGACTCATCAAGTTCTGAGGCTTCCTAGTGTGCATGCAGCCTGGTGAAGGTTATTTAAAAATATTGAGTTGGGACCTGGCTGGTGTAGCTCAGTGGGTTGAGTGCAGGCCTGCAAACCAAAGGGTTGTGGGTTTGATTCCCAGTCACAGCACATGCCTGGGTTGCCACCCAGGTCCCCAGAGTGGGGCACGTGAGAGGCAACCACACATTGATGCTTCTCTCCCTCTTCTTCCCTTTCCCTCTCTCTAAAATCTTTTTAAAAATCTATAAAATTATTGGGTTGGCCAAAAAGTTCATTTAATCATTCAATGGCTCTAGTTTTGCTTGTCTTTAACTTCATTAGAAACAATTTGGTTAGATTGTATTGTGACAGCTGTCATGTCTGTGTGCATTAAAAAAAAAAAGCCTAGCAAAATTGATGAATTTTTGTGCAGCAATTTTAATATTGAAGATGGAAGAAAATATGCAACATTTTCTCTGTATTATGCTTTATTATTTCAAAAAAGGTAAAAATGCAACTGAAATGTAGAAAAAGATTTGCGCAGTATGTGGAGAAAGTGCTGAGATTGTTTGAACATGGCAAAAGTGGTTTCCAAAGTTTCTGGTACTATTGACATTTTGGCAAAATAATTCTTCACTGTGGGCTGTCTTATGCATTGGAAGATGTTTAGCAGCACCCCTGGCTTCTCTACCCA